TTCTGAATGCTTGCCAGATACACTTGGTCACTGAATCCCTATTCCCCCAGTCCCGTGCCATCTGGATCATATGCAGAGCCCTCTGCTGGAAGTGCAGAAAAGCATCCACTGTGGTTTTTATTTATTTATTTATTTTAAAAATAGGGCAGCTTTAAGGGAATAGCATGCTAATTGGGGCTGAAAAACAGTAGGGTTTACCATCTCCTCAGAAGCAACTCGTTAAAGTGAAATCTTCCCCCAAATCTAGAGGATGCCTGGGTAAATTAACCAGGAGAACTTTTGCTTTAAAAATAGCTACTTTGATACAAATAGTTTACCAGTCAAGCCAGGAATTAGTACCAGATTTTTTATGTGGTGCTGCCTAAATTGTCTTTTCTCTGAGTAAAGCAGTGAGTTTTGTGCAGTTCAGCTCTTATACATCCTTCAGCCTGAGCATGATTATACCAATTTTTATTTATAATCTTTTTATGGTCTCCAATATTAAATTACAACATCTTCCAACTATAGGAAAACATGACATATGTAAGCAGATCAGGAATCTTCCAGGAATCCTGTATTTCCCTTTTTGATTTCCTTTTCACTTGCCAACTGCATCATTGAGAATTGAACAGTTATCTTTCCCAATTTGAGTTTAATTTTTAAAGTTAATGACATTTCTATTTTATCTATTTAAATGAAGTTTGATTTGTTTATCTCTCCTGAGACTGGTCTGTCTGCCAAAGAGGGAGGAGCTGAATAATCTACTCCAGGGGTGTCAAACTTGCAATATCAAGTGACGTGTCGCAACGTGTTGTGACTTTTTTTCCATTGCCAGCAATGGGTTAGATGCAGTTTCACCATGACACATCCGGCCACTGGCCAGCAGTTTGGTACCCCTGATCTACTCACTTGTCTCTATGCCATGTGGCCAAGAGGATGTAGAATATAGAATAGAGCTGGAAGGGACCTTGGAGGTCTTCTAGTCCAGCCCCCTGCTCAAGCAGGAGAACCTGTACCATCTCAGACAAGTGACTGTCTAGTCTCTTCTTAAAAATCTCCAGTGATGGAGCGCCCACGATTTCTGGAGGCAAGCTGTTCCACTGGTTAATTGTCCTCACTGTCAGGCAGTTTCTCCTTAATTTCAGGTTGCTTCTCTCTTTGATCAGTTTCCAACCATTGTTTCTTGTCCTTCATCTGGTGCTTTGGTGAATAATGTGACTCTCTCTTCTTTGAGGCAGCCCCTCAAATACTGGAATACTGCTCTTTCTTTTTGTATTTTTACCCTTTGTTCTTCAGGAAAGGCAACGCAGGGAGAGAACCCACACAGAAGTCAGGGGGGCAGGGTATGAAGACCAAAGGCTCCTGGAAATTGAGGCGTTCAGTCTTAGAATAGCAATAGCAATAGGACTTAGGCCTATATACAGTTCCATAGAGCTTTACAGCACTCTGTGAACAGTTACAACAATCTGGGTCTTCATTTTACCGACCTCAGAATGATGGAAGGCTGAGTCAAACTTGAACCAGTGAGGATTGAACTCCTGGCTGTGGGCAGAGTTAGCCTGCAATACTGCATTCTAATCACTGTGCCACCACCAGAATAGCAGTGCTTTTCAAACTTGGCAGCTTTAAGATGTGTAGACAGCTTGCTCGTTGGAGAATTCTGGGAACTGGAATCTTAACGTTGCCATTTCTGAAAAAAACCCATATAGTCTCAGGCATTCTACTACAAACAGTTTTTATTTAATTTTCAGTCATATTTCTTGCCAAGGAAAATAATCTAATAAAGGGTTTACAAATTCTCTTGTCTCTCATTAAAGTGTAGAACATAGATCAAAATATTATTCCTGGGTGTTTAAAAAGAATGATAGGGCAGTTGGATTTAGAGATGGTAGGATTTTTTTTCTGCAGCCAAATACCGGCTGGGAAACACTTCATCAACTGATTTCTTCCTATTTGGCAGCTCACAGAGGCAGAGAAGAAGCCATTCAGGAGAATTAAGGGACAAAATTTACAGGCATCTCTTTGGGGGACAGGAAGGGAAGATGCTAGAACAGTGATGGCAAACCTTTTAGAGACCAAGTGCCCAAACTGCAACCCAAAACCCATTTATTTATTGCTGGGTAGGCGTGACCATAGTGGTCACGGCCGACTGGGTGGGTGTGGCCGTGGTGGGTGAGGCCACCTTGATGATGCTCATGGAGAGGGACGCCTGTGGGGGCCGAGAAGGGTTGGGGGAGATCCAGGTGGTCTCTGGAGAGTGGGGCGGTGGACCGGAGGCTCGTCCTGTGTGGTGAGGCAAGGTGAGGCAGGATGGGTGTGCCCATTGTTGCGGGGCAAGGCAAGGGAGGGGCTGGAGCAGCTGCTGCCTGACCGGCCCCCACACACAGAGCCCAGCAAGTGCATGTCTGCTGGCTGTCCTGCATCATGGCAGCCCCATCGGTGTGGGCGGAGTGCAGCCCCATGGAGTGGGTGGAGACGGCCCCGAGATGGCCGGAAAGGAGCCCTTACCTGGTGCGGGCCCTGTCTACACGATGGTTGTGACGGGGGCGGCAGCTGCTGCTGCTCCTCCTGCTGCTCCAAGCCCCTTGACCAGCCAACACACAGGGAAGCAGGAGACGGTGGCGGTGATCCCTGCATCTCCAAGCCCGGCTGGCAACAGATCTGGAAGCAAAGCTGTGCCACCCATCCTCATGCTGGTGGAGGCAGCGGTGGGGGAACGTGAGCTGTGGCGCATGCCCACCCCTCCCCGCTGCCACCCCACATTGTCCCACATGCATGTCCCAGAGGGGCACGTGGGATAATGTGGGGCAGCAGCGGCAAAGGATGGATGCATGCCAGATCCCGCCTTTCCCCGCTGCCGCTGCCCCCACCAGCACAAGGGTGGTTGGCACAGCTTCACTTCCAGATCTGCTACCTGACACCATCGGCCCCTGCACACAGAGGCCAGCTTCACCTCCAGATCTGCTGGTTGTTACATGATTTGAAACCCACCACTGGTAGCTTCCAAAGGCCGCTCATTCACTCTCCCACCAAAACTGCTCCTTTTATTGGTTCCCTCACTCTGCCCAGCTCTCGCAGCTGTTCCCGGACTCCGCATTCATGGAGAGGGGGAGGGGAGGAGCCCGGCCCTGCGTCCCTGTCTATGGCAATGGCACGTGCGCCCACAGGGACGGCTCTGCGTACCGCTTGTGGCACATGTGCCATATGTTCGCCACCACGGTGCTAGAAACTTTAAAATTGGAATCTTTAGAACTAGAATACCAAAGTGGGCAGCTTGAACTTGGCTACTTAACAGCCACCCAGCTAGAGTGGCATACTGCAAATTTAATCTGGTGAGCTTTTGGAGAGCTGAACAGAAAAGAATCCCATTTGTAACTGCAGTAATTGTGGTAATTGAGGGCAGCTGTGCACAGTATAGTTGATCCAACTGAATGCTAGCTAGCTGGCTTGAATCAGCTATTCGCCTTTGCCTGCTTCTCTGTTTCAGTTTCTCATTAGCAAGACTTAAGAGCCTTCCCCAACCCGGTGCCCTCTAGATGTGTTGGATTACAATCCTCACATTCCTAGTCTGGATGACTTTTGTAACTCGAGGGGTAGCCAGATAGATGATGATTGTTATGGAGGAGATCTAGCCTGCTCAGCAGAGTGTTTTTCCTTTGGAAGGCCCGAGAAGTATCCCAGCGGGAGTAGAGTTGATTTTATTCTGAAGGCAACCAGTTTCTTTTTAAAAAAGAAGTTGATGGGACTGTGCTTAAATCATCTGTCCTAAAAAGTCCATCTTTAGAATGGAGATTCAGGTCCTGAATTTCCTCTGTGTTATTGAAATTTAACTCTGTTGCTGAAAATATGGCCGACAAAAACCATATCTCAAATCCTGGACTCATGTCACTTTGGCTATTTGCACAAGAAATGGAAGAGCTAATGGATTTCTTTTTCAATGCAGATTCACAAAGTGGTGTGCAAGTTGTTGTTTCTCTTGAACTTTGGCTGTAATGTGCTCTTAAAAGCATCACAGGAACCCCCCCCCAAAAAAAACATGAAGCCAAATATAAGTGGAACTTGAGAATAAGATTGTAGAGGCACATTCTGCAAAATTATTTTTAAACTGATTGTTGTAACCCTCAACCAATGAGGCCAATCATGTTTAGTATTTGATGCTAAGTTAAACCCAAATAAAGCATTTTATAGAGGTTAGCATGTTGTATCAACTTGTAATTTCAAATGCAACATAATCACTGTCACAGGAATTCTGTCCATTGCTGTTTTTGAAGAAGTAAAATATTGAAATTTTTATGCCTCTGAATGTTCACCCCACCTTGCTTCTTTCAGTGCTATAAAATCCAACTATCAAGAGTAATTTTTCCAAAAGACCATTGGAACCTTTTATTATTTTGACAAATTGCACAAGTTATAATATTCTTCTAATAAGGACTGGATTCAAGAGATCTGCATCCTTCTCAGCAAGGCAAGTTTATCTATTATTCAAAAATGATTTACATATTTGTGGTATACATTTTATGCTATTTTGTAATGTTAGACCATTATTATACCCTAAGATAGATGTAGGCGTCTGACATTTGTTTAAAAGTGACATTTAATGATGTGTTTCCGCTTTTCCGCTTTTTATAGTTTTTTTTTCCTATTTCTTTCTGAAAAACTTGTTCATAAATTATGATCAAGTTTAAAAAGCAACAGGCCCATTAGACCCGGGGGCGGGACAACGGGGAACGTCCCCCAGTCCGCGGGAGCCAATGTCCTCCCAAGGCTGACTCCGTTCCAGGGAAGGAAGAGTTAAACTCAGCTTCCCCATCTGTAGTTGACCCCCACCCCCATCTGTCTCCAGAAGCCGGGGAACGTAATTGTTTCCTTGCGCAGAATCTCTTCTGCCCCCTCCTCTCCGCCAAAGCGGTGGGGGGGGGGTCGGTGCCTAATAGAAACCAGACTCCTAAGGAGAGCGAGATTTCTTCCCCGCCATCGCCAACTTTCCCCCTCCCCCTCGAAGTGCTTGGCCAGCTGTTTTTCCTCAGGCTGCGGGGAGCGGAGGGGGAGAGCTTTGTGCTGCCCTCTACCGATCAATGTCCTGGAAAGGCGAGCTCGCTTTCTCTTGCCCAGGCCGGAGAAGCGGGCGGGGCAAATTTCCCCGTATGTGAGACCGGTCGTCCACCCACAGTCCCCCGCTGCCGGATTTTCCCTGCCATACTGTATAACTTTCTTAAAAGTTTACTTGATGCAGAATGCGGATCCTTCCCGTTGGGGTCGAGATCTCGATTCCGCCCTGGGGGAAACTGAACCGAAGGCTGACCGTCAGCAGCAGTGACTGCAGGCCCGCGCCCTCGCTCTCGCGCCCTGCCCTAAGCAGGCATGGGATTTGAAGCGCCTCGAACGACCTTGCGGGCCTGCTCTCCGACAAACCACGATAGAGCCGATTGGATTAACCTGGGACCTTTTCCAGCGGCCTCCTCCTTCAAAAAAAACAAAAACAAAAGGCGCCCTTTCACACACACCCCTTTTCTTTGAGACGCCAGACCAGCCTGCATTCATGTGCCTCATCTACTCGTGTTGGAAGGGACGTCCCCTCTTAGCCCTTATAAATTTGGCAAGCTAGGAGGGTTGCGCGTTATTGATTCCTCGGCTGCAGGGGCGGGTGAGCGGCTCGCGTGCACTCGAGGCATTTGCTAGCTGGAGGTGAGCTTTGCTTCCCTCCTTCTCCCGCCCGGGAGCCCCCCCCCCTTGTCCGCACCCCCCCCCCGACGGCAGAGAAAACCAAGACCAGGTTATTCTGAATGGGGCCGAGCGATTACTAAGAATTTCGGAATTCTACGAGGCAGTTCGAGAGGGGGATAATTTATTGCGCGTACCTACACCCCATTCCATCTTTAAACTGATGTATAAATGTTTGGGTTCCCAAACCACGGCTGCAGGAGCCGAACCTGAGAACCTTAGGAAGTAATTACCGCTTGTCGGAGCTAAACTTCTCCGTTACTAACTAGAGCTTTAGAGATACGCTCTAAGTATAGCATCCTTTCGTAGCTCTTGTAAGGCAGGGACCTCTCGTGCTGTGTAAATCCTCAGGTACTTCAGTCATGCTGTATATATTTAGTGATACTGTATATAAAAACGAGACTTGGCATATAATTTAAATATTTAAACTTATTTCATAATTTAGGGTCTTTCAGAATGTGGGTGTTAATATACATGATAACCATGGCCACAGCAATGATGGTTACATCAGTACTGAGATCCAGGTCAAAAGGCTTAATAGTCTTGTTTCCATAGGTGTCTTTAGGAAAAGGGCTCTGATTAAAGGTGCATGAGGTTCTAGGTGATTTTGCTACCCTGTTCCAAAATATTTTACAAGGTTTAGTAAGACTGAAAATTAAAACCAATACTTCCTAAACCTTTTTGCTCTTGCTTTCTGGGTTATCCTGATGAGCACTTCCTTTCGTTCTAATAAGATGCAAATGACTCATTATGTGACTCTCAGGAAAATAATCCAATGGTTTCCTGTAAATTGGGAAATCCCGCAAGATTATTAATATGGGCAAATGAGTTTAAATATTATTTAAATATGTGAACAGCTTGCAAGCGCCAAGGAAGAAAAAGTGGATTAAATTAGGAGGAAAGTTTGTTGCCCACAGAAGCTTTTGAACTCCAACACCGATCAGCTCGTTTTGAATTATGGAAATTGTAGTCCTATAATATCTGTAGGATAGACTTTAATGTAAATGAAACATATGAAAAACAAAATGGTCAGCTAATTTATATTTTTTATGGATGATTGGATTTAGTAATTGGATCTTTTAGTACTAAAAGATCAGATGCTGAGAACACTTAGGCAACTCATTTTTTCTATTACTTGTTTAACATTTTATTTCTCAAGTGGCTCTAGTTTTCCTGTGTTAGATTCTCCCTTGGCACTATACTTCTCGAATAGAGGGGGTGGGAGGGAAATGTCCATAGCTGGTGGGAAATGCTATACAATAGATTTTCCCTTATTTATTTACATCCCACTTTTATTATTTTTTTATAAATATCTCAAGATGGCAAACATATCCAAGACACTGTCCTCTTCTTATTTTCTCTGCAACAACAACTCTGAGAGGTGAGTTGGGCTGAAAAAGAATAAATGGCCCCAGGTCACCCAGCTGGCTTTCACGGCTAAGGTGGGACTAGAACTCAGTCTCCTGGTTTCTAGCCTGTTGACTTAGCTACTAGACCAAACTGGTTCTCTGTATTTGTACCAACGTTTAAAGAAGAGTCATAGTATTGGATTGTTGTTTTTTTAAATTGGCTAGTCTGCAAGAATAATTTTGATTCTTTCCATCTCTTAGCCATTTATTTTAATAGAACAAATGTCTTTCAGAAAAGCTTTGCTCTGATTTGTTCTGCTGAATCTTAATGTGAAATGCCTGGTCTTTCATAGCTACTTAATAAAGTCAGATAGAAGTGGTGTTGTGTTATAAGGATAATATCTGAAACCAAGGTGTGTTGTGTTGCCTTTGGCCACTTGCAGATCCAGCCAGATTTACTATTTGCCTACAGTACCTATGTTTCTCTAATAATTAATTACAATATCTCCTAATGCCAGCCACTGCTTAGTATCTTGTGTTTGTTCACAGCAGTGTTATCTTTATGTTAATATGTATTTTTTAGGGCAAATCTCTTCCCTCTTGAACCTTACACATGCTGGCAAAATCAGAGTTATAGTACTTTCAAAGTAACTACTGTAACTAAATTGTGACTACTAAGCCTAAGGAACAATAGAAAATTGAGAAAGTGTAGGTCTGATTAATTGATCACTTAGGAACATCAGGCTTAGCTAAGGGTTATGTAAAGATTTTGGTTTGGCAAAACTTTAGTGGTATAAGTTTGTAAGAAGATGTGGAAATTTGGGGTAATTAAAAAGCAGCAGCTGGAATTTATTTTATGCAATTCTTGTAACTGGATTCAGCTAGATATTCCATCCCATCTTATATTTGGGGCATTGGTTCTGCTGATTTAGCAAAATGGCTTTAAAAGATTGAATTATGAAAGAGGGTATAATTTATTCAAATTTGAGTTAGGTCACAAACGGGGAAATAATTTGAACGAAGTCTCCTTTCCCACTATGGAAATAGAAATATCCTTAAGGAGATATTGTAAGATTTGCCAAGGTGTGTCAGGTACATTCTTGGAACATTTGCTGTATCTTCTCCAATTTGGATGCCCTCCAATTATTTTCTACCACAACTCTGATAGTTCCCAGCCAGTTATAAAGCATGCTGTGACAAAATAGTAATTGAAATAATCTAATTCTTCTCCTGTTCTATGCTTTTATTTTAGCTCTTTTCTATTTTCTCCATAGGAGACAGATTTTGATGCATATTCAGCTGATATAACCATTTCTTTGAACTGACCGCTCGCTATTATGACCTCTTCCTACTGGTGAACTTTCATAAGATGAGAAGAAGTCATTAATGAACCTTCATTTGGGAGAGAATATAAAAGCAAAGAGGGATATTATTTATTATTTTAAGAATAGTAAGCAGTACAGGTAGTTTTTTTACAACAGTTTGTTTAGTGATGGTTCAAAGTTACAACAGCATTGAAAAATGTAACTTATGACCATTTTTCACAGTTAATGACCTTTGCAGCATCACCATGATCAAAATTTAGATGCTTGGGAACTGACTCACTTTTATGATCTTTGCTGTCTCCCAGGGTCATGTGAGTCCCTTTTACGACCTTCTCACAAGCAAAGTCAATGGGGAAGCTAGATTTACTTAATAACCGGGTTACTATCAACAGCAGTGATTCACTTAACAACTGTGGCAAGAAAGGTTGTAAAATGGGGCAAAATTCACTTAACAAATGTCTCATTTAACAACAGAAAAATTGTCATAAGTCAAGGACTACCTGTAACTGAACTGTTAACCAAGGTTACTGGAAAAGCAAAGATTAAAAAGTAACATTGAATCCCAGCAACATTCAAAATCCCAGAAGGACTTTCTTTGCCACTTGATTTTGCTCTGCATGAACCTTGAAGGGTAGATAGAAAATAAAAGGACAGGTAGGAATTTATGGTTTCTTCTGCTATTGTTTCCTCTGAGAGCTACCTACTTCTATTGTTGCTAATATTAATTTCTCCATTTACCAGAAAGAACTACAGTACAGTCATTCTTTTGCACAATTCTACCAGAAAAGCAGAAAAGACTTGAGCATTTTGCTGGAAAATAGGTTGCAAAATGGAGATGCGCATGAAATACTTGACTTTGTGTTTTGGCTTACTAAATGTTTTCCTAATGGTTTGGAACCATAACATGACTGAAGGATCCCAAGCAATATTGGGCCATCCATTCATCTCAGTCTGGAATGCACCAACTCAAATATGCCAAGAAAGATACGGAATATCCCTTGACTTGAGAATTTTTGATGTGATTGTCAACCCGAATGACTCATTTATAGGGAAGGACATTACCCTCTTCTATAGTAATAAATTCGGAAAGTATCCACATTACACCAAGGATGGAGTTGCCATCTATGGCGGTCTCCCTCAAAATGCTAGTCTAAAAGCTCATCTCCAGAAGACTGGACAAGATATTAAAAATACCATTTTGGATGTTGGCTTCAAAGGTCTGGCAGTTGTGGACTGGGAACACTGGCGTCCCTTATGGATTCGGAACTGGAGTTCTATGAAAATCTACCAGTATAAATCTATACAGTTAGTTAAGGAGCAGCATCCTGATTGGCCTGCTGACAAAGTGATCAAAGCGGCCCAGTTAGAATTTCAACAATCTGCTCGGGCATTCATGGAGCAGACATTGGCCCTTAGTGAAACCCTCAGACCAAAAGGCTTCTGGGGCTTTTATGGTTTCCCCAATTGCTATAACGATGAGTACCAATCTGTCAATTATACTGGAGAATGCCCAGAGATTGAGAAACAGAGGAACAACGAATTGTACTGGCTCTGGAAGCAAAGCCGGGCTCTCTATCCCAGCATTTACCTCCCCAACAGTCTCAGACTGACTCACAAAACACTTGAATATGTTCGTCATCGAATCGAGGAGGCCTTCAGGGTTTTGAAGTGGACACAGAATGACATCCCTGTCTTACCTTATACTACCACTGTATATGACTTTACTCATAACTTCATCACACAGGTAAGCAATTCTTGTGTCTGTCCCAGTGGAGGATTTGATAAGCCTTGTCCAGTGGAAATTAGCTGAAAAACATGGCATGGAAATAATCGTAGACTTTAATAGAATATCCTTATCAATATCTTTAAAATTTTTGGACTCAATGTGGCATCACAATTAAATATCGGTTGTTGTAATTTTCACTGAAAATTAGACAGAGCAAGCCTTTTCCCTCCCCACTTGCCCTGATAAATACTTCCAACATATCAATGTGAAAAATCAACATCTTTGTTTTTGGCAGTTTAGTTTTATGTTAGATTTCATTTTTAACAGTGTTTCACGTTTGGATGAGACGGGATTAAAAATTAATGTAGGTCAGATGTGACTTATTGAAAATAAGTAGGGCTTTTTATTGCTGTTTTGCTTTTGTTTTGGGGTAAACAAATTTTTTATGAGTGATTTTCTCTTTTCTCCCATCCCTTGGGGCAGAGGAAGTAGACTTAAAGCCTAAGTGCCATAATATTTAATTTTCCATCAATAACACAGATGTTGTCCTGTTAGTGTATAGAACCAATACAGTTGTTATTCACCGAATTGCTGTACATCAGTAACAAGTAAAATAAAGATGAAGAGAAAAACAAGATTATTCAAGAAAAGTGGTTTAGAGGAATTAAGAAGTAGCAGTTGGTTCAGACAATAGAAAATTGTAGTAGTCTAGGAGAAACCTCATGAAAATAACTTATTTAACTGAGGTTTTGCCATCACAAATAAGATGAAGAGATTCTTCCATTAATTAGGGAGAAGTATATAGGGACAAGCTAAAAATAGATACGAACAGAGGCTGTGATAAAAAAAAGTTGCTTCCTAGAAAGAGGAGACTTTAGAGAGACTTTTTGATGAAAAGTCGCTGAAAGCGGAGAGACCACAGGAGATTGAGATGGGCAGGAAGGGACATACTAGATGAAGTAGGTAGGATAAGACAAAAGGCAGTTTCTAAAAAAGTGGCAGAGGAAAAGATGTCTGCATTTGGCCACAGATTATTTTGGGAGAAAGAACTCTTAAAAATCTCTCAAACCAGGCCATACTTTTAAAAGGGGTAGGAAATCATATTGGAAGATACATTAGATGATGCAAGAGAGTCGGAGAACATCAGTAGAAAAAAAAAGAGTACAGTCCAGATAAAAGTATTTCAAAAGGAAAATTGAGTGAAAAACAAGAGTGAAATCTATCTTTCCATTCATACCTGAGCTCAAGGTTGGGCATTTTGATGCAGGAGACCACTTGTTTTTAATCAGCTGAACACTACAGGGAGTATAGCAGTGATATGATAACATGGATGGATCCAAGTCAATTTTGTTGGGTTGTTTAAGAGGTAAAATAGGTGTGTTCAATTTTTAATGAACCTATTTTTGCTCCTTCTTCTGAAGCAAACAGATAATGTTGTTACTCTTTAGAATCACCTTGATGTAACCCAGGGTTGTTAAAAAGAGGACTGCTTGTAACATGTAGTCATTATTTACCACTTTTGTTCATTGGAAAATAGACTCTCCTGTTTAATAAGGCAATCAGGGAAAATGTCAATCAAATTATTTAATCAATTACTTATACATAATCCTGACACATAATATTATTATGCAAAATTCTCAAACACTGCTATTTAGAAGTAGGAATTAAAGGGTCTATTGTGACCAGAGAAGAGGTGCTAAGATTCAGATCCTAAACATGAAACTACCTTAATATTCTTGTTTTGCAGGAAGACCTGGTCCACACCATTGGTGAGAGTGCTTCTCAAGGTGCTGCTGGGGTTATCTTGTGGGGTAGTACAAATTTCAGTAAATCTCGGGTAAGTATGGCAAAGAAGTCAGGACTGATCAGAGGGCCATGTGAGGCTAGATAGGGGAATTTCAAAGGTTCGAATTCTAGTAAGATATATTGTTTGGGTGAAGGCCTTTCCAACATATTTTTTTCAATCCATACATTTTGGATTTATAATATATTCAGTTATGGGATAAAAAAGGTGTGGTTGCTTTACTACAGTGGTTCTCAACCTGTGGGTCGGGACCCCATTTGGGGTCGGACCATTTCACGGGGGTCGCCAAACAACGCAGTCCGCCATTTTTTCCCCCCTTTTCCTTAGCTGTGCTACTCGCTTTTATTCTATTGGCTTTTGAAATAGAGTCTAATTCTATTGGCTTTCAAAAGCCAATAGGAATTGTCCAGGCTGTCTCTGCCCTACTGAGCCTGCCAAAAGTCCCATTCTGCAAATGGTGCTGCACCAGTTGAGTAGTCCTCGATTTACGACCGGTTGAGTAGTCCTCGACTTACGACCGGTTGGGGGTCGCGGCATTAAAAAGGTTGAGAACCACTGAACTAAGGTATCCTTATGAGTTGTGATTACCTTGGCAGGATAATTGGGGGAACAAAAGGATGATCGGGCCCTTGTCTACTCCAGGGAGAGATGCTTCTGGGATCAGTCTTTCTAACTCTCCTGCCCACACACAAACCCATTATTCAACATATATATGAAATCACTGGAAAAGTTTATATGTTGGTTTGGATGAGATGTCATCAAAATTAAAATGACATCCAGCTGTGCATTGTCACGTCAGGCTGTATTGGAGATGCTATAAATTGTATTTGAGCTGCTGTTTGCAGGCTATTAGGATCTGGATAGGCAGAGAGGAGGTGAGACTAAAGTCTAGCAAAATGGAGTTATTCTCCAGCAGGATGGCTGTAGAGTCCAATGGATGGGTTCTATGACAGCCTTCCTGCCCGGCAGACTGGGTAAAAACTTTGGCCACACCCTTCCTTTGGGCGTGACCCCAGTTTTGACTCAGTCTCGAAGCCCGTTAGCAGCTAGATTCTTAGCTCCTGACAAAGAAAGATTTCCCTTAGACCTAAAACCTCTTCTCTCTCTGTTAAAATTACTATCTAGTTAGAAAACTCACAGGGAGTCGTTTTCCTCCCAGCTTAGGCTCGGAGCTCTCAGCAGCCGACAGATCACCATCGCGCCAAGGAGTGGTGAGAGTATCAAAAAAAAAAAAAAGCCTGAGTTGCGAGAAGCAGCGGAAGCCTTTGGGAGCACTCGCTGTCCTTTCCCGATCAGCTGGGGCGCGCGAAGCTCCGAGCCCCAGGGGATATTAGAGCCGCGGCGCTACTGACGCTTCACAGGGAGGCGAAAAATCGCCAGTTGACGAGACACGTTCTCCGCTTTTCTAAAGTTTTTCCTCTTTAGCCCCAGGCACGCCAGGATCGCTGATAAAAACCGCGGCGTTTTTTCCTGAAAGGCACAGCGAGATCCGTGCCTCTCAGGGAGCTCCAATTTACCTCAGCCGGCAGAGCAACCGTTGGCGAAGATCGCCATTTTGAACCGCGTGGTTCTTCTTTGACAGTTTAGTGGGAAGGCGTGGCCTTCAGTCTAAACTCCATTTTGGGTGTACTACTTATAGCCGCCATTTTAGGTGTGTCACTCACTCGGAAGTATCATCACAGCTTATAAAGCTTATATATATATAAAAAAAGGAGGAATAATAATAAATAAACAAATAATCCAAGATAGAGAGAGGGGGGGGTAATAAGGAAGAGTGAAGGTTAGCTTATGCTTACACCCAGTGGTCTGTTTTAACAGCCACACATTGGGGAATAAATATTCACTACACCAACAAGCAATACTTGCAACAACCCTGGGCCATCACAATTGCCCCTGGTGAAGGAGAGGGAGGAAATAAATTGATTTGTTCTACTGTTCCTCAGGGTGACCTTTAGTCACTGCTCCACAGGATCCTCTTTGCAGGGACCTGTCTGTCCGGCCATTGTTCGTTTCCTCTGTGCGGAATAAGCCGTTAGGCTTTAACTCCTGCAACTGATCTGCGTAGAATTGTTTCCCCACCCCAGGTATTGCCTACTCGGGATACCTGGTCACAATGGCAGACAATACCTCGCATTCAGCTATGCAGGGTCCCCAATTGCCCCCTCCACAACAACAAAAACGCAGATCCTCAGAACCTGAGGTGGGGGGGAAGAAGAAGGCTAAGACAAAGCACCTGGTTCAAAGGGGCCCATCCAAAACAGCTGAGCGAGAGGCCTCGAGGAGACATTTGGCTCTAGAAAGACAATTTGCCAGGGCCCAGAAATCCAGTTCCAATGGGACAAGCATGGTTTCCCCTGTCCCATTGGTGGGCCCCAATACAGAACCTACTCCCCAGGAAGTTCTCAGAACTTGGTCTCCTCTGGGGGAAACTGAACAGTTGGACTCCTCCCACTCCTCTTCACCTGACTCTTCACCAGACCATACTCCCACCGTGGCTGCGTCCACAGACAGAGCTCAGGAGGACATATGGTCTGCCCAATTTCAGGCATTCATGCAGGATGCCTTTTCCCAGTTTATGGCTTCTAAGGGCCAAGTAGCCTTTCAACCATCCCTTAGGGGACGAAGCAAGGCTCCGGCTACAAACATTTCTGAAACTTCTTCGCAAATAGGAGAGGGAGAATTACTAGACCTAGACATGTCTGATATGCCCCTCTCGGAGGATGAGGGAACTGCTCCTGAGCAGGCAACAAGCTCTGGCCTCTTTGATCCAGCTCTTCTAAAATCACTTTTAATAAAGGCAGTCTCTACGGTCAATTTGACCTCAGTCCAGGAGGAAAGTCCTTCTACCAGCAAGGAGGCAAACCCTCTCTTTGCCAAGAAAGTTCCGCAGGACAAGTACATCCCTTGTCCTGAGGTTTTCCGCACCACGGTAGAGGAGCAATGGGTTTCCCTAGCAACACCACCAGCACCTAACAGCGTGGAAAGGAAGCTATTCAATGTTTCTCCTTCCTTTTCGGGCATGCTAGATGTCCCCGCAATAGATAGCCCCTTGATCTCATTATTCTCTACTTCTGCGATTCCAGGGGACATGGCAGAGGCCTTGAAACCAGAGGAAAAGAAATTTGAGCACTCCCTCCGTCGTTCCCACATGGCCGCAGCCTGGGCAGCCAAGGCGGCAACATCATCATCATTCTTCGCCAGGGCGTGTATCATGTGGCTGCGCGAGCTACAAACCACTGTACCTCCAGATCAGGTCAGAGCTCACCAAACTTTGGCCAAGATACTGGCTGCCTCACAATTTATGGCGGACGCCTCACTTCACGCAACTAAGTATGCGGCACGATCGATTGCGGCCACAGTGGCCTCTCGCAGATTGCTGTGGCTCAAAAATTGGAAGACAGATCTGAAGGCCAAGTGGCGTCTTTCAACGTCCAAGTACAGTGGGTCATATTTGTTTGGATCCATTCTGGATCCACATGTAAGCGAGAGTAGGGACAAGAGAAAAATTCTAGTCCATCCATCAAAGAAACTAGACAGGAGGGGCAGTCAGGAATTCCGGAGGCAAAGTTTCCGCCCAGGCAACTCCTGGGACTGGAGACAGCCCTTTCGATCAGGGCAATCCTGGGACTGGTCTAGAGGCTCACGATCCTTCTATTCAAGACAGGATCGTTCCCAGGATCGCCCAAACATGGGAGCCAGAGACCAATTCCAGTCCAGGCGTCCCTTCAGAGGATCGGGGAGCCGACCCTTTAAATGCACCAAGTGACGCCAGGCAGGATACTCCCATAGGAGGTCAGTTAGCCAATTTCATCGAGGTCTGGGAGCAGACCACTACCGACGCCTGGGTCTTGGAGACGATCAGGCATGGCCTGACCTTAGACTTTTGTTCTCCCCCACCAAACCGGTTCATCAGATGTCCCATCTCCAAAAAGACACACAAGGCAAGGTTGGTAACCTCGGCCATAGCACACCTCCTGTCAATTCAGGCCATAGAGAAGGTACCAAGGGGAGAGGAAGGAAGAGGATTTTATTCCATCCTCTTTGTGATCCCAAAGACGTCAGGAGGTTGGAGAGCAATATTGGACCTAAAGGGCCTGAACTATTACGTGAATTACAGGAGGTTCAAGATGCAGTCCTTGAAATCCATCCTAGCCAGTGTCAGGAAGGGCGACCTCCTGTCTTCAATAGATCTCACGGAGGCGTACCTGCATATCCCCATCCATTCCAAATACCGGAAGTATCTCAGATTTACCTACGTGGGCCGGCATTACCAATACAGGGCCTTACCCTTCGGTCTATCCTCAGCCCCAAGGTATTTACCAAAATCCTAGCTGTAATAGCGGCCCATCTCAGGCTGATGCCGGTGCGCATACAGTTTTATCTGGACGACATCTTGATTCAGTCCAGCTCGCAGGAGCAAGCAAAAATAGACCTCCAGACCACAATCCGAACCCTACAAGAGCACGGATTCTCGGTCAATATAGACAAGAGCCACCTCACTCCCTCGAGGAAACTGCAGCACCTAGGCGCGGGGATAGACGCGTCACAGTGCAGGGTATACCTTTCCCAGGAGCGTCAGACCAGCATCTCCAAGCTAGTTCACCAAGTTCAGAGAAGCAGGAGAGTTCCTCTGATACAGCTCTCGAAGCTCCTGGGAAAGATGATATCTTGCATGGGCATTGTCCCCTGGGCAAGGCTCTACTCGAGGGAATTGCAGTGGTTCCTTCTACCCTACCAGAGGAGGAACATCAGTACCTCCAACAGGAAGATCTTGGTACCAAAACAGGTTCTGAGATCACTGAAGTGGTGGATATCTCCCATGATACTCAAGGGGAGTATATTCAGGGAGCCGAACAGGATCACGCTCACGACGGACGCGAGCCTGTTCGGATGGGGAGCACATCTGGGAACTCAGATAGCGCAGGGCCAGTGGGATCAGAAGGACCTATCTCACAACATCAATTGGCTAGAGCTTCGGGCCATTCACCTGGCTCTACGTCAATTCTCCCATATAGTAACGAGAAGACACGTTCTCGTTCTAACAGGCAACGTAGCAGCAAAGGCCCATGTCAACAAGGAAGGGGGAACACGATCCTCGGATCTAATGCAGGAGGCATCAGCTCTGGCTCGGTGGGCAGAAGCCAACGTGAGCTCCATCAGAGCGGAGCACATATCAGGGGAAACAAATACCCAGGCAGACTCCCTGAGCAGAGCCAAGGTGGACCAGTCGGAATGGCGTCTGGATCCGTCTCTGTTCGAAGAGATCTCCCGGAGGTTCGGACAATCGCATCTGGACCTATTTGCCACTCCCAAGAACACTCAACTTCCCAGGTTCTTCTCCAGATTCCCGACTCCTGGATCGGAGGGAACGGATGCTCTCAGGTGTCGGTGGCCGGGGCAACTCCTGTACGCCTTTCCACCGCTACCGTTGATATCGGCAACCATACGCAAGTTGATCCTGGAAGGCGCGGAGGTAATCTTGATTGCTCCACATTGGCCACGGCGCCCGTGGTTTGCCGACCTTGTGGATCTTTCAATATCACCCCCATAGAGGATTCCCCCGGACCGAGTAATTCTCAGTCAGGGCAAGCTGCTGCATCCCGATCCGCAGTGGCTACAACTAGCCGTTTGGCATTTGAGCGGCAAAGTCTAGCCAAGCAATCTTACTCCTCAGGGGTGATATCGATCATACAAGCATCAAGAAGATCTTCCACAAACAGGATCTACGATGCTACATGGAAAGGTTTTTGCAGGTGGTGCGTTCCTCTTCACCTAGATCCAACCGCAGTATCTATTCCCAATATCCTAGATTACTTATTGGAGGGACTTAATAAGGGCCTATCAGTCAACACTATCCGTAGACAGGTATCGGCCCTCTCAACTGTACTTTCCTGTGGTAACTTAGCCTCCCTGGCGCAACATCCAGCGATTAGCGCCTTTTTAAAGGGGGCGACCAACACCAAACCTCCTGTTATACATAGATACCCATCTTGGAACTTGACCAAAGTTCTTCAGGCCTTGACATCAGCACCATTTGAGCCTCTTGACTCATGTTCTCTTCATCACCTATCGCTGAAGGTAGCCTTTCTGGTGGCTATTACTTCAGCAAGGAGAATTTCGGAACTAGAAGCACTGTCAGTGAGGAAGGACCTTTGTACCTTCTTCAAGGACAAGGTCGTTCTTAGACCAGACCCTGCTTTCATTCTGAAGGTAAACAACATCTTCCACAGATCTCAGGAACTGATTCTTCCTGATTTCTGCCCAAGACCCAGACATAGGCTAGAGCATAGATGGCACAAGCTGGACGTGCGTAGAGCGTTGTGTTTCTACGTGAAGCGCACTTCGGCCTTCCGTAAGACGGAAGCATTATTTGTTTCCTTCCAACCATCAACTATGGGAAAGAAGGTGTCATCTTCTACCATAGGTAGGTGGATCAGAGCCTGTATAGCCCAAGCCTACGTCTCGCAGGCACTTCCAGTACCCACACACGTGACTGCCCACTCGACGCGCAGCGCAGCCACATCGGCTGCGTGGTCCATGCAAGCATCGGTGGAAGAGATTTGCAAGGCCGCAACCTGGTCTTCTCCCTCTGTATTTATTAGGCATTACCGTTTAGACTCCTTCGCGGCAGCGGATGCTGCCTTTGGTAGAAGAGTGCTACAGCAAGTTGTCTCTGCTCAGGACCCAGGGGCCTAGACACTCCCTCCCAGGGGGACATGAGGGCTTTGGTATGTCCCATCCATTGGACTCTACAGCCATCCTGCTGGAGAAGGGGCGTTGTCTTACCTGAACGCCTTTTCTCAGCAGGATGATGTAGAGTCCAAGCCCTCCCAGGTACTAGGTCTAGGCAGGGTTTGGACAAGGAGCTACCATATCGAATCCAACAAACAGTTCTCGCCTCAGTCAAAACTGGGGTCACGCCCAAAGGAAGGGTGTGGCCAAAGTTTTTACCCAGTCTGCCGGGCAGGAAGGCTGTCATAGAACCCATCCATTGGACTCTACATCATCCTGCTGAGAAAAGGCGTTCAGGAAAGACAACGCCCCTTCTATGCCTGCAAACATCAGGGATGTCTGATAATACTGACCCCTCCTGTCTCTGAACGGTCACAATTTGGATCCTTACAGCTCCTACTTGAGTGACAAGTGGAATTGTGGCCAGGAAGTGTTTCTACTGGCTTCAGGTGATGCACCATTTGCAGACCTATCTGAATCAGACTGGAATAATTTAATTCCATAATAACCATGTTTGCTATTTGTGTAAACCAGTTACATTAAGACAAGGCACAATAGCATTTGTGGAATGCATTCCGGAGGAGCAAAAGTCAGCAAAGCTGATGTAGTTTGTGTGGAGAAGAAGAGTTAAGACAGCTCCTCCCCAGAAGTTCTCAGGATATGTTTAAGACGATATGCAAATCGTCTTCTTTAGTTTGGTAAGATTTCTGCCTGTAGGTGAAGGACAATGAAGGAAATTGCTTAGAAGAATCTCAGTGTGTATTTCTTGGGTTTTTGGAACTAACAGCATTTGAAATTGAGTCTAGAGTCTTACTGATAATTAATACAACAGGCTCAAGATCATCATAATTATATAGTAAAAAAATTCCTTGAGAAAAGTCCAGTTGCCCCATTGCACTTCTAAACCATCTTCAAAGGTGTCTCCCACCTGGAATCCAAGGAGTCCTGTTGTTTTAGCCTCTCAGAAGCTGATTCTTTCCCTAAGCATTGGGAATTGAACTGGGAGGATGTTTAGTCTGGGGCCTGGGAGGAAGGATACTTGTATTTTTGGCCTAGATTTAAGGGATTGTTGTGAGCATCTAGGATTATCCTATGAGATAATGGCCATATAAGTCCTGTAAATAAACAAACCCTGCATAATGTTTGTCTTCTTGTGTCATCATGTCTACCACACCAGTGATGACTAGAATGTCAGATGCAAAGGGTCAGGACTGTACGTTAAGTTGCAGCACAGAAGGTTTATTCAAGCAAAAATCTAGTTAGCAAGTTCAATACTAAATTGGTGCCAGATAAGGGTCAACAGAATTTAAGAGGGGCTGGACTTAAATCATTTGTGGCAATGTAAGGACTCTGAGGAAATGACACGTTTAACTGTTCCCCCCCCACACACACACAATATGTGTTACTATGTTTCCTTGGTGACTATGACATAAAGTTAAGGGAAAACATGTTTGGAACTCCTGTGAGAAATGTGTTCTAAACTAATATGATCGTTGCAGACAGCTCTTTTAAACTCATTTTTTTCTGGGCCTGCTTTTTTGTACCTTACAGGAAGCCTGCCTTGAAGTGAAGGAGTATGTGGACAAGCTCCTTGGCCCATACATTATGAATGTGACCAGCAGTACTAGGCTTTGTAGTGAAATACTTTGCTCAAAGAATGGCCGCTGCGTGCGGCAGCAGAATCACCCAGAAGCCTTCCTGCATCTCAGTTCTGCCAGCTTCACTATTAAGAAGCATAATGTTGCCCCAGGCTTTATTTTGATTGGCCAGGTGTCAATGGAAAATCAAATGAAAATGGCCCAAACATTCACATGTCAATGCTATGATGGCTGGAAAGGATTGCATTGTGAGAAGAAGTCAATCCACAATGAGGTATTCAGTTCTCAGTTTCATGATATATAATACATGTCAACAAGAAAAGCTCAACCTGCAGAATTAGACTGTATAAAATTAATATCTGCTCAATATCTGATTAACATTGAACTGGTGCTCTGAGAGATTATAGGTTACATTACCATCAGCCAAGCTGGTTCAGAATTCTGGTAGCTGCTGTCCCATTGCATATGAAGGGCAGAGGTGGCGGAAAATTGGGCTTCACCTTTTTGCAATGATAGTCAAAGGCAGTTTTTTCCCCCCTCTTCTGTCAAGTGCAAGCAGAAATCCTTCTAGAAATGGTTGTCTGCAGTCTTTTTGCTTGTGTACTTAATACAGTTTTACCTTGCAGCATAAAAAAGCTGGCATGCCTTTTCTTTTGATCATGGTATGAATACAGACAACAAGTGTGCTTTTCTTATGAATATATTTGCTTTCATTTCCATCTGAAGAAGTAACATCAGTTCAGTGACATCTTTGTGATGATATGATGACACACGCAGAGAGATGCATGCTCAGGAGAGAAGACACACTTCATTTCTTTGGGAAACCCATAGTTTATTCTTATAGTTGTATGATGAGCGTTTTGAAGGAAGATGGCACTGTCACCCATCAATTGCCTTTAAAATAAATGAAAATATGTCTGCATACTGTTGTTGTGCTGGTGCTTTTCTAAGTTGTTGAATGACTGTTTATATGCAGAGACTTTGTGATTCAAGGAAAAGGCCTAACCAATTATCAGATTTCTGTAATTGAACTGCATGCATGTTTATGTACTGAGACTACCTCCAGTTAAAGTAGATAACCTATCTCAATTTTTTAATGCATTACATTGTTCTGCTACAGCTTAGACATTGACTTTGGGAAGCGGGAGCCAGGGCAATATCTGGCATGTTATTATGGGGCTGAGCTGATGTAGCAAAGGAAGTTGTTTATTGAATAAATCACAAGATTGCTATTGTGCTAAATTATTAAATTAATAATTAAAGGACATTAAATTATTAAAGCATTATGCATACTTTGTGCTAAACCAAAAGCTAACAGATCACTATTGCCAAGCAGGAGTTAACTAACATATTTTACATAATGAACTACAAGATATCCAGTATCCCCAAATGTATAAATTCACACTTGCCAAATATATCAGCTTAGCAGGAAGAGATAGTTTATTTATTTAGGAGAGGGGTAGGAAGAGTCATTCTTTAAAGAAAAATTACCCCTGGGAAATTGCTTTGTTTTCTTCCACCTCAATGGGATAAGAAGCAGAGAGGAGGTTTGCCAATTGTCTGAGCAGCACAAAAGCAGACTGGAACCTGGGCTGGATGCTCTCCACTGCCTTGTTTGGAGTGTGAGAGAATACACAAATGAATCAACCCCAGCTGGTTTGGTGTGCTGGGTTTTTTGGCATGTGACAACTGCTGAAGGAGTTCTCTTGTCCTTGAGACAGAGTTGCAGAAGAGTGGTATATATAGCAATAGCACCTAGATTTATATACCACTCCATAGTGCTTTATGGCATTCTGAGTGATTTACAGTGTTAAAAATTGGCCCCCTCATTTTATCAACCTCAGAAGGATGGGAGGCTGAGTCAACCTTGAGCTCCGTCAGGATCAAACTCTAGGCTGTGGGCAGAGTTAGCCTGTAATACTGCATTTTAACCACTGTGCCACCAGGGCAGCCGGCTTGATATAATAGAAAATGCTGGGCATAAGATATTTGGGGAGGTGAGTCTGCAAGATTTGATAAAAAAAAGTCAAGATGGCCACAGCTATGTTTGAAGCTCTGCATTGTGCACACATGATTATATATATATATGTGCAAAAAAACCCAAAACAGGCAAAGCTATTGCACCGTGGCTGCCATTTTGACTTTTTTTTAAAGCATACCTTGAGAAGTCATGAGTTTATGACTGCTCAATCTCATGCTGGGATTTATGAGTTCTTAGTAGTGTTAAGCAATGGATAAATACACAAAAGTGGCAAGTATATAAAACACACTTGAGCTCTGAAGAACCATGAATTCCATGGAGGGAGACTAGTGACCAATTGAATCCCTGTTAATTTGCATTCATGAATTGGATTCATTTTTTGATTTTGACACAATGCAAGATTATGCTTTCTGCTCTAAATGCTGCTTTAGCCCCCCAAAAGGATGAAACTTTGGCAGCTGTGTGCTTCTGCATTTCAACTTGCCTTTAGATTAAAGGGGGGATGTGTACTTCCAAGGGGGTTAGATGGAGAAACGAAACTGAAGACCGAGAGAGCTGAAACCTTTTCAAGATACCAGAACTGGTGTGGATTTGAAGCAGCCATTTCCCATAACAAAGTGAACTTGTTTATATGGACTACATAAGACTTTGAAGATTTGGCTGGGGAAATTATTAAGTCTATGAATTGGGGTTGGAACCTCAGAGTTAGTTTTACTTTGACATTACCATTCAGTGGATTCAATAAACAGTAAGAATTTCAGAGAAGAAATGAACCTGGAGTTTTTGGAGTCTGAAGTTGAATATTGACAGTTTGGTTTTCAATGAGCTGGCTTTTAGAGAGAAAATGAGAGCTGGGGAGAAGGGCATGAAGTCCACAGACAACACTATTGCTCTCTGCCAACAACCATTCCCTTTTTCTGATACTGATAGGTTGACAGACTTTAAATATATGTATGTATGTATGTATGTATGTATGTATGTATATTTATGTTTCATATTCCTAGGCTACCTTGTACGCTATGCTAAGAAAACAGAAATGCCTTAATTTGGGAAAAACAAAATGATGTGCTCCAGCTGTGTATGCTTTGAAAAGAGTGTTTTTGATGTCAAGCAGACCCAGGGAATTAAGGGAATTCCTTAAAACTTTGTTTCTGAATCTTGGCAACTTCAAAATTGGTGGACTTCAACTCCCAGAATTCCCCAGCTATCATGCTGGAGAGAGGAGTTCTGGGAGTTGCAGTCCACACAAAGTTGTCAAGGTTGAGAAACCGAGCATTAAAGCATTCCTTCCCGGTCGTATTTGAATCTTCACCGTTAATAGCTCCAAGCAGCAAAGCTATTGGCAACGAATTGAGGATTACAGTATAATTCAAAACATCGTGTTGTCAATGTTGTAGGCTTAGTGAAGCTTAATTCCTGGTAAATGTGCAAAGGAAGGTACCCTGGATATTTTATTATATTGTAAGGAAAAAAAAATGGGATCCTTTTTCATATTAATAACAAAGTAACGCCTAACTTTTAAAAATCGAGTTAGTATAATACAGCCCAGCTGTACTAATCTGAATTTAACTAGTCTTTCCAAGCAAAAATAAGTGCTCGCCTCCTTTCTCACAAAGTGTTTTTAAAATTTTAAAACTGGTAGCATTTTTTTTTTTTTTTTGCCAATTTTTGAGCCCAGGAAAAGGGCCCACACTTTGTTCTTCATCCGACCCTTTTTCCTCCTTCAATCCCCCCCCCCCGCGCGCGTCACTCTCCAACACTTCGCCCGCGGGGAGCGCGTAATCGTCTCTCATTCATTGCACCGATCTGTCGCCTTCTAGCCCCACGTTCTCCATTCTGCACCCAGTAACGCACATCTTACGCTTCCTTTGTCGACACCTATGTTTCTGCCCAGACGGTTACCTCCCCCCAGGATGAATTAACGGCTCCGTTTCCTTTCATTTGTTGCAACGGAACTTCGAAAGGAGAACCGTAACGGAAGCCGGTTCGCAGAAGTTTGTGAGAGAGGACTACGGCAATCTCTAGAGAAGGAAACCTCCAAGCCGCTAGATGGCAGTGTAGCTTCGGGACGAAAAGAGCGGAACTTTTCTTCCCTCGCCCCTTTTCGGCGTTGGGGGACAGTGGGCGAGCTCAGGCGGCTGAGAAGGCGGAGCGCCCGAGCGGCAGTTCCTGTGGTTGCTAGCACGATGTTAGTATTTATTAAACCCGCTTTCGGCATAAATGTTGGTTGGGCCGGGATGTGGGTTTGCAAAAGGCGTTCTTAGCTGAAACTCTCGCCAGGGAGAGGCCGGATAGTTAAAAACGGAATCATCTCTCATTTGCGAGACCGAGGGATTGGAAGAGCATTGAGTATTAGAATCTTCGTTTTGGAGAAAAAACCGGGGATCGAGAGGGATGGCGGGGAGGGGGGGGAAGGCGAATAGCTTTGGCTGCCTGCTTTCCGATTCTTCTCTCTCCTGCTCCAGAAGAAGAGTGGGTGGTTGTGCCCATAAAAGGATATGAACCTCTGAAGCGGGGGGGGGGGAGAGGGGAGAAGCGCCAATGGTAAATGGTGCCCTTGATCCAGTTTAAGCGCTTAAGGAGTGATTCTCAAAAGTTATTAAACCCGTTTACTTTTTGCACCCGGGAAGGAGGCAAAACGAACGGGGTTGGGAGATGAAACGTCCTAGAAATAATAGCTCCTTCCAAACGAAGCCTCTAGTGAGCGCAACGCATGCAGAGAACTAAAGGGAACTTTAACCGCATTTCTTTCTATCGCCTTGTTTGGAGGGGGCTTGGTTTGGTGGCTGGTCCTTGGCTGACACCTCGCGTGGTTTACTGGGAAAATTCGTAGTTGCCTTTTTCTAGGGTTTCTGGGGAAAGGCCAAAGAGTTCCGGGTGACTGCTGGCAGAAGTGAGTGGCGATTCATTGGAAGAAAGCCCCGAATTTGGATATGTGGCGCCGGGCACTTTCTACGTTTATCCTTGAATAGCAGAGTCAGCGCCCCTGGACTAGAAAAATAAAACATGCTTAAGGGGTGGTTTTCCTCGTGGAATTGATAAAAAAGTAATGCTCTAGTTCAGGGATAGGCAACCGTGGCTCTTTTATGACTCGTGGACTTCAACTCCCAGAATTCCTGAGTCAAGTCTAGTTGCAACCTCACATATAAGGGGAGTAGTGTGTTACTGTGTTACTTTCTGTACTGTTGGCCCTTTCAGGTAGTCCAGATTAGGTGATCAAACTCATGAATACTAGCTTTATTATAGTTTACCATAACAGGTTTAGAAATGCTTCCCCATTCTCCTGCCTTTATTAGGGTGGGTCAATTCTGAAACACTTCCTAAAATTAAATTTCTGGTTTGGGCTCAGATTTCATTTATCACACTATTGTCTAGGACTGTGACTATCTCAGTGCTATTCTCATAGCATATTACAGTAACAGAACACTTTGATTTTGCTTTGGGGAAGGGTGATAATGCATGGACAATGTAGGAGACACTAGTGTTAGTCTACAGCAGTAATGAATTCAGGTAGCATCTTTTCTAATAATGGAAATAAAAACATAAGTGTTTGGCTTTTAATAACATTTGCTAGTCACAAAAAGATCCTATCACTCTCCTCTTAACATGGTCAGGGATCTTGTTTCATGTTTTATTTTTCTGCGGTGAAACTGCCTTCAGGGTAAGCTGGCATTTTAATTCAAAGTTCCTATGCATTTCTTAGGAAAAAGATTGAGACTTTTCTGCAGTTTAGTTCTCTGTTGGCAAATGCTAAGTTGAGTTAGGAATCCTGGATATCTTTGCCTGGGTTGAGTCCTAAATCAGCTAACTCCTGACTAGGCAATATATATGGAGTCCAGTTGTACATACTGCATACTTAATAAGATGGTTCTGTCTTCTTCGTAGATGATTGTTGACCTTAAATAGAGAATATGAAAGATGTGCTTTTTTAAAAAATGAGCTCAGGTACAATGTGCCATTGTTTTTAAAAAGACCAAGCACTTTTTTATGATGGTCAGGAGGAGAAGACCACTAACACACTTGTCATTCCTTAGCATTGTGCTGTTAATAATAATAATAAAGTTGGAAGGAACCTTGGAGGTCATCTAGTCCAACCCCCTGCTCAGGCAGGAAACCTATAAGGTCACCTGTTTATAGACCTTTGACCTTAGCCTAGCATATTTTTCTAGGGTTTCCATGGACAGCAATAAATTAGCTGAGATGGGTTATTGGCCATATCCCCTCTGGAGTCTGGTTTGTGCAGCATGATTCATGGGCAGAATCCCTTGAAGGAGATGGAAAACTTGCTTCCAGAAACAGCAGATTCCTCCCCAGGATGGGATATGTTGATTAGCAGCTATAGCCTACTGGACATAACTGGTTTCTGTTTTCAGAACTTGGATCCTTTACTGTTGCAGAGAAATGGTTCTTCTTCTACACTATCTAGTAATTGGAGTGCAAAATCTAACTGATGATAATAAAATACCAAAAGGGAAAAATGTCTTATCAAGATCAATTAAAAACATGCAGTAGCTTTGTACACATCAAAGGATGTCAGCATTTGATACAAATGTGATCACTCTGGTTATCAAGCAAATGCAACTACTGTTCTGTCCGTCCTGTGGGCCAGCAGTTTGACATGCCTGTTCTAGATGGTTAGAATTTTGTAATCTGAATATTTTCTATGCCTTCAACATTTTCTATGCCTTTCAGAGAGTCAGAGACTGGAAAGGAACCAAGCCTAAGTAATATTTTTAATTTCAGAGCAGGAAAAATGTGCTGTGTACACAAGTGGTAGGAAAAAAATCCATCTTTGCTTGAACACAGCCATTGCACTCTGTCCTGTTGTCTCTGGTTTGCAAGAGTTTGTGACTTCTCATCAGGGAATGTTTGCTGATGGCAACTTAGAGTACTTTTCCTCTCTGTATGTCTACTACCAAATATAGACATATGGAAAAAGCACAAGTGGTAATCTCCAAACATGTTTGTGCTCTGATATAAATAACTATTTTCTTGTTACGGGAATATCTTCATGGTAGTATCTACTCCATCTTTTTTAAATCTCTCCCCCCCACACTTTTATATTTGGTATTCTAGCAAAATACTGTTTAATTCAGAGGTAATATATTATCTAGGTCAGTGGTGGTGAACCTATGGCACGCGTGCCAGAGGTGGTACTCAGAGCCTTCTCTGTAGGCATCCGTGCTGTTGCCCCAGCAGAGTTTGCCAGAGTAGTGAGCATGTGGCATTTGGAAGCGACAGGGCAGGAAGTGAGCGAGCAAGTGGTATTGGCTCACCAGGGATGCCCCGGAGATGGCGAGGGACTGGTCCCGGCCATGCTCACCCAGTCTGCCGTGACCACTGCAGCCACGCCCACCCAGTGGGCCATGCCTCCCCCCGAGGGCACCACAATGCTGATGCAGCCCTGGCACTTTGCAATAAATACTGTGAGTTTTGGGTTGCAGTTTGGGCACTCAGTCTCTATCTAAAAGGTCCGCCATCACTGATCTAGGTGCTTGATTAAGCTCAGAAAGCTAAGTATTTGAATGGGAACCATCAGGAAATATTAGGCTGTAGTTTAAGTTAGGAAGATGAAGAACAATTTACAAAGAAGTTTATGGCAACAATAGCAATGCTTTGAAAACCATCTGGATGTGTTCACGAAAACACCATGAGCCAGGATCTTTTTATTATTTCTTCTAAGCTCAATTTTCTGGGTAGATCCTCCACTGTGGATAATGGACATTCCTGAATATTTGTTATGTGGGCCAAGATGGCTTATGGTCCCCTCAAGGAATCTTCCTTACTTTTTCAGTAGTTATTATAAAGAGAAAAAGAGTGCCAATACGTTTCAGCCTGAAGTCAGGACTCAGCTCAGAGCACAATGGCTAAAGCAACCAGGATAGATATTTACTATCTGCCACTCCTCCTTCACTATGTGTTCTCCTGCTAATACCAGTGGATAGAATTCTTACAGGGGAAAGATGAGAGAGAGAGAGAGAGGGAGAGGGAGGGGAAGAAAGACACACAGAGAGAAGATCTTAAATGGATGTGTGAGTTTAATTTGAGGTAATCACAACCCAGTGATCTTTCATTCTCAAGATTGTTAGAAACGGCTAAGAGATACCGGATGGAACTCTGATGACTTTGAAAGGTAACCATTGAAACAGTGACTTCTGAGAGAAAAGTTGTTCTTTATGCCTCTCTTGCAGTGTTCATTCAATTGGTCAATAAATATCTGAAGCTGAGAGCATGCCTCTAATGCAACACTGAGTTAAATAGACTAACAAAGAGATGGAGGTGACAAGGCACTGTAAATCAAGCTAAGGACTCATTACAGAGTCAGCATTGTTTGTGTCCACGCTTTAATGCTCTAGTCTGACTGATTGCAGAAAAGTTGGGGAGGAATTAGGGCATGGTAAGCTGTCAGTCTAGTTTGCCTGTTCAACCTGCCCTATTTTGTCAGATGTTCCACCCTGGGTAATCCTGATTGTTGTCCTTATAATAGGACCGGATGTTGCTAATGTATACTGGATGGTCATTTATTAGAGAACAGATTGTCAGAATGCTTTTGCCTATATTTGGACTTGCCAGCCAGAATAGTTTTAAAGGATTCAGTTGAAAACCCCATAGAATATGCTGGCTGCTTTTGCTTATTCAACTGGGGAAAGGTGTCAACCTTTGATTGTAAGGGCTGGGCAGTTCAACACTTAATTTACATTTCAGATACTTCCCCCTTTACCAGTATTCAAATTAGCAGCTTCTTCTTTCTTTAAAAGAAGTAATGGACAAGAAGAGCATGTTTAGTTTCTGCCGTGCTCTTAAACTAAACAGTTTCTACTAGGTGTTAATTGGCAAGCAGAAATTTCTAAGGAGAAAGGTGCTACTTGAGGCAACTCCCATTCATTGAAGGTATTTGGTGGGGTTTTTTTTCCATTTGCCCTTTTCTTATGCAATAATTCTTGGACAAGGATATTCTTGGCTTCCTTGATCAGACACTTTAGTAGAGGAATAGGCAGTCTTAAGTTTTGGAAAGGAGGACTATGAACTAAATGCTCATGATGCCTACAATATAAAGGAACAGGATTTATAGGGGTCACCTTGTCATGTAAGTCTGGTTGCTTTTGAGAGGTATAACTGAGGAAGAAGTACCTTTCTCTAATTATGTTAAATCAGGGAACCCAGGAACAGAAATATGACTAGAACTTTCAAACTTGTTTTCCACAATTGAATGCTTTATTGCAAAGCAATTTGAGATTGACACCAGGCTGAAATTAGGAAGAAGAGACCAAGCTACAGATGTTGCTCACTGGAAGGAGTGAAAAGAAAGCCATTGCTATGCCTGATATTTTCTTCTATCTCAATATTGCTCTCTTTTTCTCTTCTCTCAATACCATTGTCATAGTGTTACCTGTATTTTTTTTAATCTAGCTCCAGAATTCTGATAAAAACCAGTCCCATGCAATATGCCAAATATTCTGGGTTTAAGCAAGGGACACCTGATTTACTATAGATTAGAATTGATGTAGTAGTTAGAAAAGGATAATTAATAAATTTACCTGGTATTATTCTTTCTTCTTAGTATTCTAATCTATATTAGGATAATTTTCCAAAACATTTGGGGTTCTGCCATTATCATAAGGATTATGATATATTTCTCATTTTTTTGCCAAGGGGGATTTTTTAACATGTATATAAGGCAAGTTACATATTTCTAAACACAACACATTGCTCAATTATGATAACATTGCACAATTTCAGTAGAATAATGGGCTTAGTATTTTGTGCATGTTTTTGGGTAAGTGATAATTTTCTTCAAACTCATTTGCAAGATACTTACGGTACTGTAAATCAGTTGGTGAGGGAACTGGCAAATTCTCAATTTCTCCTCATAATAACAACATATATTTTTAATACAATATATTGTTGAAGACACTTAAAAATGAGTTTTTGATATATCTGGGTGGTATTTTAATATAGAGGGGCTTATCTGTTTGGTCTGCCAAAGAGACACCATCAATTACCAGTTTTATTAAAATGCTATCTGTTATTTGCTTCCTAGCAGATCTACTTACTTTTGTCCTTTCAGATCAGTTGAACATACTTTCAGATAAAAACCCGAACTTACCCCCAGCAGGCACATGGGCCATTTTTGGGCCAGAATGTGGACGTTAAAGTGATATTAGTGTTTTGCTTTGGAGCATGACCACTTCCATTTATATAGTAATGTGAGAAGTCAAGACTGTGGACATAGTGGCATCTCTTGTTCTAAGGGTACTAAGATATTGTGCAGCTAAGAAAGTGAATTACAGCTAACTAACTTACAGTAGACAATTGTCTCACAAAATTCTATGGCCAAAGTGGCTTATAAATTGCACTGTATTCTTGCAAGAACACAAATCATGCATATAAACATCAGCATGTGAAGTAATTCGGTATTTTATATCAACCTTTGTTTCTGTTGAAGACTCAAATAGCACATTGTTGGCTCAGCCTTAAGATTTTACCCATCTTTAAGAAGAGATTATAAAGCTTTGGAGCTCTTGGTATTCTCTGACCTTGGTTGTTTGCTTCCAGACATTTCATTATTCAACTAGGTTACATCATCTGTGCTATGGAGTGTACAGCTTGCTCCCTGTTTTTATTCAGTAGCTTGCCTGTCAATGTTGGTGAGGGTGTGGTTTTCTCCTTGGTAGCTCCTTAATTAGGGTTCTACTTGGTTGGTGTTAATCCCTGCTTAGGACATGGGCATCTAGGAAAGAGGAAAAGTAGTATCCTATCTAGAATTTGTGAATGGTAGATATCCCTTCTCTTTCTGATTTCCTTCAGGCCATTCCTGACTAGGCAAGATGGAGAAAGAATTCCATGGAGTAACTCAGATGAGTTAGATGGCATCTCAGATCAGTGACAGTGCTGGCTAAGTATATGGAGGCTATAAGGGTCTGGATGGGGAAGAACCAACTTTGAATCAATCCTGGCAAGATGGCGTGTCTATGGGTTTTTGGTCCCCCAGGATCAGATAATTATTCATCTTTGATTTTGGATGGGGTGACGCTTCCTTGGACTGAACTGGTACACAATTCTGGGGTTCTGGGCTCACAACTCCTGCTGAAGGAGAAGGTGGCAGTTGTGGTTAGGAGGGTCTTTGCAGAGAGTTGTCTGTTACATCAATTGTGTCCTTTCCTGGACTGGGAGGCCTTGCTCATGGTCACTTATGTCTTGGTCACCTCCTATTTGGATTACTGCAGTACACTCCACATGGTGTTGCCCTTGAATACCACCCAGAAACTTCAGCTGGTCCAGAATATACACTATACACAGTAATGAGACCTCTGGATTTGCCTGTGTAACACCTGTTGCACGAACTGCATTGGCTTCCAGTTTCTTTCTGATGAATTCAAAGTGCTGGTCCTCACCTTTAGAACTTGACAGCACAGGGACAGATATGCAGGACCACCTTTCCCTAAGGACATCTCTACCTGTCCTACCAGGTCAGATAGAATGAGCATATTCCTAGTCCCTTCCCCTAAAATTGTCGTGATGAGAGCTAGGAAATGTTCCTTTTCCATGGCAGCCCCTGCCCTATGCTACATTCTTTCCCCCTGAAGTTTGGCAGGGCTTTTACCCCTTTTAGCCTTCTGTAAGACTTTAAAGACCTGGCATTTCTCTCAGACATTGGGAGATTAGATAATGGCACATTAGCACAGAGTGGTGCCATGTTATTAACAACTGCATTGTTAATTTAACATTTTATTTTTCATTGATTGAATGTTATAGTTTTTAAAACAATTTTATGTGCCTTTTGATTTTTAATTGGGAGCTGCCCAGAGTTGCTTGAGAGATGGACAGTTATATAAATGTTTTCAATATAATAAATGGGTTAGAGAGATTGAGTTCTTTTAAATAAGCCCTCTTTTTCTTTGTTATTGATGTATAATGCGGAGGAACCCAAGTGAGTGGACCAAGTGATGCTCTCTTTCAATTCCTCAAGCTAAAATGCCTCCCTTCATCAAAATTGTGTTTTGCTCGATATTCATATTTGATTCACATATGTGTAACTCTGTGGTCAAACTGGAAACATCAGTACTTCATCTGTGACTGGTTATGGGAATGTTTCATCATACTCCTTCTTGCAATTTGCCACATCCATGGCTTCTGGGAGACATTGGGGGAAGTATTGCGTTGTGCTCTGGAGAAACATTCAAACAGTCCCACAACTTGCTTGAGCTGTTCCTTCCAGAGTCAAATCATCACGTAAGATTGTTCCAGTATACTAATACTACATGTTCTTGCCAAACAATGGTAGGAGACTGTCACTAATTCCAAACTATTGTGACTACATGAGAGCTGCTTGCAGCTCTGCCTGCCCTAGTTGCCTAGACTGTGATCTAGGCTATTGTGATGGAATGTACTCCCACAGCAATGGGGGGGGGGGTATTTTGTTAATTTAGAGCCTTCCCAAAGAAGCCTTGATTAAGAGACTGCTTAGTCCTGAGCTGGACTAAATTCACTCTAGAATCTCTCAGGATATATCTAGTAGGAAAGAAGGTTATAGTTTTAGCCTGGTAAGTTTCTGTCCATTAGGTGCAAGCAAATAAAGGATTGAATTTGACTGAATTTCATTGTCTCATCTCTGGGCTTAGGCCTGACAGTCATGGCAAGCAGAAATGAGAGGCATAATGAGAGTCATGTTTAGCTGGTATCTCCTGGTGAGGAGCAGAGATGTGAGGTCATTATGACATTACCCATCAGTGATGTCATATTACAGCATCTTAAATGCAAGGCTGCTTCCTACATAAAACTTAACTAGAGCCACCTAGACTGTTAAGAGAAAATAAAAGAGCAAGCTGGATTTGGATATTCTTTTAGAGAAGATTACTTTTTACATGTAGATTGCCTTTTGTGGCTTATACGGTAAGCAGATGATCCAGGTATCTAGATTACAGACTTATAGAGAGTAGAACATATTTATGAAAAATAATGATCTTGTATGCTTGTGGGATAAAGAGCGAAGGAGAAACCTGAAAATCAGTTCCTCTTTTTGTTAAAGGTTTAAGACCAATAGAATTTATATATAATTTCCAATGGAGAGAGTATGAGTTACCAACTGTTTTCACTTAATTTCATGCAACTATATGTAATCTATTGCATTTGCATAGCTTATTCAGGGTGGTGTTCCATACAGACATTCTGCTTATTGGTTAACATATGGTAATTTAAATTTGGTCAGTAGAGAAAATGAAAAGAAAATTTCAAAGCGGCAGCTTGTAGGAATTCGTCTGTTTTCTACTTGAATGCCTATCATTTTCAGCTATCAGGCCCATGAATGGAAGCTATACAATCCCTCTTGAAACTACTGCAGTAGGTTTGGGAAATTGCTGGAATAATAGAATGGTGGTGGTGAATATAATATTTATTTTCATATACAGTATGTGGTTATTAAATGGATTTCTGTATTAAGTCTTTTTGTTACTATTTGGGCATATTTCAGAGAACATTAATTTGGGTTTAACTTAAGCAAAGCTAGGAACTGCTGAAGTTTCCCTGTAGTGTCACTGAGAAGGTTAACCCTCTGGGAAGTAAGTATGCCTTGCAAGCACATTTCATTGTGTTTGTGCTTTCAGGAGTGCACCAAACTTTCTCTCTCTCGCATGTAAAGTTTCATCACGGTGAGAAGAATGGGTTCGGTTTCAGAGATGCTAACAGCAGTCCCCCTTCACAAGAGGCCTGATCTCCTGGAGGCCTGTGCTGACCTCATCAATGAAGAATGGAGACGGAGCCGGACCTCCCGTATCCACTCTCTGCAAAAGTCTAGTGACAACTTTCCCATGTGCCTGGTACTGATCAGAACTTTGAGGCTAATGGAGGAAACTGGAGAAGGGAAGACGTCCAATACCCAATGCCAACTTCTGGGACATGCCAGGTTGTCCCGTGTAGTTGGCCAATCTAACAGTTTATTTGTGGAGACTGTGGTGGTTGCCAAGGCCCTCCGTGGAAAGGGCTATGGCAGGAAGCTGATGGAAGCTGTTGAGAATTTTGCCAAGGCCCATGGCTATCACCATCTGTATCTCACCACACATGACAAGCAGCATTTTTATGCCCACTTGGGCTATAGCTTGTCCAAGCCTGTCCAGTGGGCTGGATTCATCAGTTCTCTGGTACCTATGGAATTTTTGGAGAACTTCTCTACCCCTCAGTGGAAGACAGAACTTCCTGCACAATCCGGGAAGCATAATACAAATGCATCATACCAAAGCAGATCTGGGACAAAGCTCCCTCCTTCACCATGTGCTGCACCTCTTTCCTCTTCTCCTTTTTGCTCAGTGACCCCCCCTTCATTGCCTTCTCCTTGTTCTTATCATTCAGGGACAGCTACCATTTCTCCCCGTCCTCCATTGCCAGGTCCCCATCCATCCTCTGTCCAGTCCACTAATGGTCTGGTTCCCTCTTCACCATCAGCCTCCCCATTTGCCTCTGCAGCCCCAGCATTTCCACCCTCTCCTCCTCCTCCTCCTCCCCTTCCACTTCCAGTGCCTCCACCAAGAGCCTTTTTACTAGCCCAGTCAAGCTCTGGTAAACCTGCCTCTTCCAGGGTTTTGGAGAATACAGCTGAAGAACAGACACTTTTAGAAACACCTTATCGGGATCTGAAAGGGCAGCCCATATTCTGGATGAAGAAGGATGTATAACTTTCCCATCTTGTGACTGCAGTAAAGTTGAAATAAGTGAACAAGAAGGAAAAAGGAAAGCTTTCCTGTTTTAAAAGGAAAGTTTGGCTTTGTGAGACAGAAGATCACCATTTAAAATGAATAAAACAATGTATTTGGTTTTCTGTTGTTCTTCCTTATCAGATTCATTTTTTTTTTTGAAAGTCCATGGTGCTAAGACTATATACGTTAGGTACACTTTGAAGGCCAGCACTTGATTCTCGTTGAATTTCAGTAATTATTGCCAAAGTTGTGCTGTTGGGGCTGTTCTGAGCTGCCCTATAGATTCCTGTGCTTCTCCTGTATTGCATGTCCCCAATAAACAAAGCACCTTCAAAACTCTGGGTCGTCCCTTCTGACTCTGCAGGGAGCATTCGAACAAACGCATGCATTGGTTTGCAAGTCTGTGGTGCTGATGCATAAAGAGAATAGCTTTGCTATCCCCTCTGCTTGAAATTATGCATTATACTCATATATAGTTTAACTGTGGTGTATTGAATAAATGTGAGTTGGTTTGGTTTATCAAACTTGCTAAGTGATAAACCTAGCTTTACGCCATAGCAGTCAGCTACTCGTAACTCACCAGTTCAAACTCAAGCTATATTTATTTACATGTATTGTAGCTGTCCCACTCCGGTGAACTCTGAGCAGTCTACAAGACCAGAACAAAGAACCCATAAAAACAAAACCTAAATACATAGATATTTATCTTAATATTTGACTTGGATGAGTCATTGTCTTCATGTGAATTGAATAGAACTGAGATGGTGCTGCTTTGGTGGGATAATAGTAGAGCACGCTGCTTCGTCATACGTTTGTCCCATTCTTATTTGGACATCAAGAACGGTATCTGTAATAAAAGCTCTTTCCTGTCAGCCATTGTACACTTAGAAAATGATTGTGTTTAAGGTTTGGTTTGAGGAAAAGACAGCTTTTTAATTATATTGACTGCCATGACTTCTAATCCCCACAATCTGGAATTTTGCCCTTTGGAAGCTTTAACTTGGTGCCTTCCAAGGAGGTTAATGTATAGATTACTTAACAAAATAAGGTTTAGGTCAAGCTAGCAAAGTTACCGGAATACCCTTTCATGGACCTTAAAAAAAAATACAGTTCTATGAAAGCTGATTTGAACACTTTTTAAATGAATGACCAGCTGTTGAAGATGTAACTTTTTGTTCCTGGATTCATAGCATTATTTAGTCTAATTGATTAATATTCCATCTAAGCTATTGCCTCCATTGCTTGACAACTAACCTCTACTGCATGCATGTTGAAAATGATAGTTTAATATTGGCTCCCTGATGAACCCATCTGCAAAACCATTGCATCTTTTGAAGCTAGTTGAATATATTCAGACAATTTATGGCAGGGGTCTTCAAACTTGGCCCTTTTATGACTTGTGGACTTCAGATCCCAGAATAGTCATAAAAGGGCCAAGTTTGAAGACCCCTGGTTTATGGATTCAAGTAATTTAAATACACAATGCAATATTTCTTTTACAGTATTTAGAATTAACACTAGGTTTGCAATTCCAAATTCTTTCAATTGCTTTTGTGAAAAGGAAGAGGCCAAGCCCCATCAGAATTTGTTCATGAAGCAGCAATGTTATTGACACAGCTGGAAAGGAACTATTAAAGAAAACAGCATGCACAGGCAATTTTTTGAGGGATGTATAGGAAATGTATTATTTCTTCACTGAATGTTGTACATTAATATTTCTTAACGCTTAAAAGTCCTTGAAATGAAAATTTCCCTTTTCATATTAAAAGCTGCACAGGTGACATTGCAAATACAGAATACCATCTCTCCCACTTAATTGGCAGACACCAACTGTATGCAACACTTTGGTCTAAAGCAGTATTTCTCATCCTTGCCAACTTTAAAATGTGTTGGCTTTCAATTCCCAGAATTCCCCAGTCAGAATGCTGGCTAGGAAAATCTTGAGGGCTCAAATCTATGCATCTTAAAATTGCCAAGGCCGAGAAACAGTGGCCTAAAGAATATTGTTTTCATTTTAAACAAGAGGAAGGTCATAGTTTTCAACCTATGGCCACAACTGAGTCCAAAATTTTGAGCCCAACATTGAAACAGTTGCCACCCTTCTGAATTTTGATCATGTGACCACGGGAATGCTGCAACGGTTGTGTGATTTGGAGAATAAATCCCTTCTTCTCTGTGACAACCTCTCAAGTAATGAAAGACAATTAACATGTCGCCCCTAATCCTTCTCTTTGATAGGCTAGACCAGGGGTAGGCAACTCTGGCTGTTTTATAACTTGTGGACTTCAATACCCAGAAATCCTGAACCGGCCATGCTGACTCAGGAATTCTGGGAGTCGAAGTCCACAAGTCTTAAAAGAGCCAAGGTTGCCTACCCCCGGGCTAGACATACCTAGCTCGCTCAACTGTTCATCATATGATTTAGCCCTCAGGTCCTTTATCATCTTTGTTGCTCTTATCTGCATGTGCAGTACATATTGCACTATGAAGTGGAAGAGAGAACGGTATCTTTAATAATTCACCACTTCACCACGTATCTTCAGTTATCCCCATCATGGTTAGGCAGCTGTAATTTGGCTGATCCAAGGTCTCTAAGTCAGGAATGAGTGAAGAATCAGACTTGCTGACCTAAGCATAATGAAGTCTTGCAGAAGAGGGCCAAGAGTCAGAAGAGGAGGGGCATGACATGGCTGCACTGTTAACTTGGATAGCATGATCAGCCAGCAAGTGCCAGGCTGATACCATCCCCTAGAGATCACCTGGCAGTGCCATTGACAAAATGTTGCAGAAGTTCAGAAAAACTGCTGTCGCTTGGTGGCTACTGAAGGGAGAGAACACGGACACTGGAACATCTAAAGACTTCAAAATGCCTCAGCTATGGGTTGGAGACAAGAGGAAGCAAGATAATAGGAACATGGCTGTGGTTAACTGCAAGTGAGAAAAGACACAACAAGTGTGGCTTGGAGAATTATCTGAATCTTGTGTTGTTTCCTTTTTGAGCAAATGGAAAGTTCTTATCAAAATAAGTTATTGTTTGAAGTTCCTTAAGTCCAAACCTCACATTGCAGGTAATCCCCCTTTATACAGAGCATAAATATGTTTTTTTCCATATGAGCATAGAGTTGAACCTGGAGTCCTCCACTCAGCTGCCCTGGAGCATAGATAGTACTTGAAAGAGAAACTCAGAACAACATAGACCAGTGGTTCTCAACCTGTGGGTCGGGACTCCATTTGGGGTCGAACGACCATTTCACGGGGGTCGCCAAACAACGCAGTCCGCTATTTTTTTCCCCCTTTTCCTTAGCTGTGCTACTCCCTTTTATTCTATTGGCTTTTGAAAGCCAATAGAATAGACTCTTGAATAGTCTAATTCTATTGGCTTTCAAAAGCCAATAAGAATTGTCCAGGCTGTCTCTGTCCTGCTGAGCCCGCCAAAAGCCCCAGTCTGCAAACGGTGCTGCACCAGTTGAGTAGTCCTCGACTTACGACCAGTTGGGGGTTGCGGCATTAAAAAGGTTGAGAACCACTGACATAGACTGTTGCTCCAGGAAGTAAAAAATACCTGGGTTACTCCTGAAATAGCAGCATGGGAAATAAATCATTTCCCATTGTTGCACTATTTTATTAAAGAATAGTCAGGCAGTGATACTTTATGATTATTCCTGGTGCTTTCTTTCAGATTAATATAGAACTGGTGTTTTACTTGCTTTCAAGGTAAGCTTATCTAAGTTTTTGTAGGCAATTGAAAAGAAACAGAAGTCCTTATTAATAAAAAAAAGCTTAGTACTGCATTACAAAAGCTGTCATTGCTCTCGACATATAGTACTTCAAGTTTGGTATAGTATGGCCACTCATCTTAACCATATAACTCTGGCCATCTAACAAAACTGGTACTTAAATAACACAGTGTAGAAACCATAAGGCAGCACATAATTAAAAATGCTCAAAATCTAACATCCTGGCCTCAAAACCAAGGAAAAAAGCAGGTCTTCAGATTTTGTGCAAAACCAATAGAGTCCCCCCAAACTCAAGGGGGAGACTGTTCCAAAAGGCAGCTGTCACTGATCATAAGATGCACCTGCTCAGTACCACTAAATAATGTTCATGAAAAGGAACCAGAACATGCCCACCCTGCTGGATCATGTTGCAGCAAGGTTACATGCGCACATACCGTGGACCAACTGTAGCTTTTGAATGATTTTATTTATTACTTTATTCATCTGTATCCTCTTTTTATTACTTTTATAAATAACACAAGGTGGTGAACATACTAATGCCCCTTCTTCCTATTTTCCCCACAACAAGCTTGTGAGGTGGATTGGGCTGAGAGTCAGTGACTGTCCAAAAGCCAACCAGCTGGTTTTAATGCCTAAGGCAGGACTAGAACTCATGATCTGCTGGTTTTTAGCCTGGTGCTTTAACCACTAGACCAGTGGTTCTCAACCTTCCTAATGCCGCAACCCTTTAATACAGTTCCTCATGTTTAGACCAGTGGTTCTCAACCTTCCTAATGCCGCAACCCTTTAATACAGTTCCTCATGTTGTGACCCCCAACCATAAAATTATTTACGTTGCTACTTCATAACTGTAATTTTGCTACTGTTATGAATAGTAATGTAAATATTTGATATGCAGGGTGTATTTTCATTGTTACGAATTGAACATAATTAAAGCATAGTGATTAATCACAAAAACAATATAGCAATGCTCGCTGGAGAAGCTTACTCTTCTTTGCTCAAAAATGTTGGGAGGGAGGGAAGGGGAAGGAAGGAAGGAAGGGGAAAGGAAGGAAGGAAGGAAGGAAGGAAGGAAGGAAGGAAGGAAGGAAGGAGAGAGATTGAAGGGGAAGGGAGGAGATGGAAGGAAGGAAGATTGAAGGAAAGGAAGGAGATTGAAGGAAGGAAGGAAGGAAGGAAGGAAGGAAGGAAGGAAGGAAGGAAGGAGAGATTGAAGGGGAAGGGATGGAGATTGAGATGGAAGGAAGGAAGATTGAAGGGAAAGGAAGGAGATGGAGAAGAAAGGAGATTGAAGGGGGAAGGAAGGAAGGAGAGATTGAAGGGGAAGGGATGGAGATGGAAGATTGAAGGGGAAAGGAGATGGAGAAGGAAGGAAGATGAAGG